GTAACGTATTACTCAGGCCCAAAAAAGAGAGTTAGAGAAGCATATAAAGAAGAACAACACAACCTGTGAAAACCCTAACGAAGGAGAGTGCGAAAAGCGGCCGCGAGATCGAAAGGGCGAAGAAGAGAGTCGCGAAACCCTAGAGGCGGCGAACAAGAAGAAACGGCCGAGACTCAGAGGAGACGAAGTCCTCGTCATCGTCTTTGTAAGAAAGAGCGACGATCACGAACTAAACCCTGTGGAGGTACATTCGCCGGCGCCGTTCATTTACAATCGGCGAGCAAAATAACTTCGAGGCTCAGATTTGCAACATCATCATCGCCCTTGTTCATCGATAGTCAACATCGTAAACCTCCGCGAAAATCACCGTCAAAAACGACGTAAGCTCATCCAGGATGATTAATGGTTGCTGTGTGGTTGTTTTTTTCTTTTCAGGTTTGGAATGAGAGAAATCGGAGAGAACGGAATCATGAGAAATCGCGAGAGAAGGAGAGATTATGCGGCGCCGTGGAGGCCAAAGAGGGATTAGGGTTACCCTAATCTAATCCCTCCCCCCTTTTCCTTTGTATTCGTAGACCGGGTTGGGTCCGGGAGTGATGACCGGCCCAACCCATTTGTTTTAAGTGGTTTTTTTTATATTTTTTTGTTTTTTTTAAACAATAAACTCTTTTAAAATCTAATTTCTGTTTTTTAAAAATAAATAACATTTAAATTTTTTTTTAATAAAATAAATTAATCTATGTTTTTTTTTAAATAATAAAAACCTTTTTTATAATAATAAATAAAAACCCTTTTTTAAATAAATATATTAAAATCCATTTTTTTAAAAAAAATAAAAATTAGGTTAAAATAGTTTTTAGGATTTGAGTTAAATAAATATTAAAAATCCTATTTTTTTTTTTAAATTGAAGTTTATATCATAAAATAAAACCACAAAAAGATGCATAATTTCACTTCTTCACCATCTGACAATTCATCTAATTCTGCCCATTAACGTTGTTTGCTCGTTTTGCAGTTTATTGCGTTTACTGTTATTTATTTCATTATCGTTCCATTTAAATTTCATTACCATATTGTAACTGCTCCTCTCATGTAATCTCGCGAATCCTAACAATCGCGCTTTAATTTCTGCCTTTAAATTTCTGCTTGCATGGTTAAATTAGGACATTATCTCTCTGTTTGCACGATTCAATTATCACACTTCCACCAATATTTCCGTCACACTACACACATCTGAAGGTTAGGTCTAACTGTTTGGCCGCCACGCCAATAGTCCTCAACTTCAAACCCTCAAAATTACACCCTTACAAACCCTAATTTTCACAAATGTCTCGCCGTGGACAAAATTACAAAACTACCCCTAGCTTTAGGTCAAAGAGTCGCCGCACTCATTTTAGGGTTTCCCGCCGTGGAATCCCTAACCTAATTTAACCCTAATTACAACTTAACAATTCAACGTAGAGATTTGGAGTTTCTACACTCCACGTAAGCGTGTCCTTAAGATGCGTTTATTCCCCTTGAGACCTTGACCACAGTCAAGAAGTCTCTAACCTCCCTTTTGAGGGGAACTACGATTACTCTGATTCCACTCCCGTAAGGATACGTAGGCACAAGATGCGATGTCTTGCCGAGTAAACTTAGAATTAACCCCTTAGGTTTATTTTCTCACTTTTAATCCCTTTGTACATATATCTTAAGCAAATAAATAAAGCAAATAGTAAACATTTGAACAAAAGGTTCCCGTAGAGTACTACGGAAGTTTAGGGTGCTAATACCTTCCCTAAATTTAACCAACCCCCGAACCCTAGATCTTTCCCCGCATTGTGTTTACGATGCAAAATAGGTTTTCCCTCTTTTGACCTTTTCCTTCGGATAAATCAAAGAGCGGTTGTGAATTGAATTACGATTCAAACTCATTAATAGTTTGTGATCCTATTTCCACCGCAACAAAGTATATAAAAGAAAACTTGAGCTTTAACATTGCAAGTCAGGATGACAACTACCTGATACACTCATCAAGCCTTTGAAGAAAGTCAGGTTTAATAATTTGAAGAGAAACAATGGGATGAAAAGCCTTGAAAAAATGAATTTTGTGGTGTGTTAAAAACTAATAATTCACTGTTTAATAGGAAAGTCTGTGCTCGACAACGTTGTATTTGATCTAGTTGAAGTAATTGTAGACAACATAGTCAAAGAGAGTAAAAGTTAGTTGTATTTGACAGAGTCAGATACATCATATAGTTGTTGAAATATGTAAGCATGTCAAATACTGCAGTTAGAAATAATGTGTTTGGTTATATATATATATATATATATATATATATATATATATATATATATATATATATATATATATATATATATATATATATATATATATATATATATATATATATATATATATATATATATATATATATATATATATATATATATATATATATATATATATATATATATAACGCTGTAAATCAGATACTAAAACTTCAAAACAAAATTTTCTTTTTTCACAATATAGTTTTTGTTTGTCATTCTCTCCTCTTCTTTATTTCTCTTGGAAATCCTAATGTTTTATAATATAATAAGAATGATATATAATTGTCCTAATATATATATATATATATATATATATATATATATATATATATATATATATATATATATATATATATATATATAGATATATATATATATATATATATATATATATATATATATATATATATATATATATATATATATATATATATATATATATATATATATATATATATATATAGAGAGAGAGAGAGAGAGAGAGAGAGAGATAGATAGATAGATAGATAGATAGATAGATAGATAGATAGATAGATAGATATATAGAGAGAGAGAGAATCCACTTACTCAAAGAGTAGGTTTTTATAACTTACTACACAATCATAATCTTTAAATAGATTTAATCAAATGGTTATAAGTAAAAATGTTAATTTAACCACTAAATTAGATTCAATATAAAGGCTATGATGTGGAGTAACTTAAAAAAACTTACTCCTGAAGTAAGTTGATCCCCCTCATATATATATATATATATATATATATATATATATATATATATATATATATATATATATATATATATATATATATATATATATATATATATATATATAAATTTCTAAGACAAATGATATATAATAAGAATACATGTGTGTTTCAACCCTTACAAACAAAAAGATAAGAAAATTTTTAAATAACACTATTCGGACACCTAAAAAAGTTTCATACAAAATATATGAAAAATAGAGTTGGAGTAACGAATCTCTCCGATACATCTCTATTTTCAAACAATTTTTTTTTTTTTTACATTTTAACGGATATTATTAACAGTAACCAACTCTAAATTAAGATTATTCCTCTCCTTGCCTTAAGAACCACAAAACCGTATGCTAAATTGCACCTCTAGTAAAGTTTTTCCGCAAACATTTACCACCTCCACCCCAATCTAAAAAATGGTAGACACATCCCCACTAAAATTCACAACTTTTCCACACTATTCTCCGATCTTCAATCGACCAATATATAATAAGAATTTATTAATAATTTAAGGATGTATGCACCTGGCCTGAGGCACAGGTTGAACATTTAATGATAAGTTATCCATAGACTCAGAGTGAGTTTGATAATATCGCCAACAACTGTTACCAACCATGAATTTTTCTATATAATTTAAATTACAAATAACATATAAACATCCTAATGAAATTTACTTATTACAACTTCTTCTAATATGCAAAAAAATCAAAGCAAAAAACAAAAATAAAACTCACATGGAGGCAAATAATTTGTGAAAGCGTTGACTTGAATATCTGAATTATATTAAAGTCTTCAAAACAGGCATATACCACATATTCTTTCATTAATTCTGGACTCTAGTGTCATTCTTTGAATGCTCTCTAACACAATCTTTCTATATATATAGCTTCTCACCCTCTCTCTATTGTATCTCTTCATCCCAACATCACAACAAATGCTTCTCTCTCCTCAATCAACCAAACTGTAACTAACTACCAGGTGAACTCTCTCTCTCTCTCTAGAACTTTTTTGTTTCCTTAGTGGAAAACTTATGTTGTTCTAGTCATGAAAAAGAGCTTCCATAGTGGAACCCCCACTTTTTAGTTTTTGAGCAATTACAAGTTAGAATTTAGAATAACAAGCACAAAACACAACTTTCTGCTTCTTTTCTTTTTCTTTCTCAGATAATAATAATATACAAATCATAACTTTTCCACTGTTCAGAATCTGGGATCTCTCTTTTTCTTCTAAATAATGATTTCATGATCCCAATTTCAAGAGAAACAAACAAAACACAAATCTTTTATCTTTATCTTTATCTTTTCAGTTTCTTGGTTTAGTTTATGATGATTTTCCATAAAACAACACCTCCTCTACAAGATTACCAAATTAACCTCTTCCTATTCATTGAAAAATTCTAGACTCAAAAATCTTAATTTCTCTTGTGATAATGAGCAAATAATTTAGAAAATTCAACTTTCTGCTTTTGTTGACCATGAGAAAATCAACATCAGCTGAATTCATTTTTGTTTTTCAATTCTTAAAAATGATTAATTTCTTGCAAAAGTCTACTTGGCTCAATTTATTAATAATTTGTATTGGGAATTTCAGATAATTTCTTCTTTATTAGTAAAAGTATCAATTTTTTAGAATACCTTAATTCAACCATTCTTTTGTTTGAATTTTTATGGATTGACTTATTTAAATTTATCAATAGGAATAAATACTTCTGAAATATTTGGAAGAATTTATGAAAAAATTTATGAAGTTGTTTCCAACTTATTTTTATAAGCTCTCAAAAACTGGTATAGCTTATGAAAGTGTTTGACTTTTATTTTAGGTTTATTCATAAGTGCTTAGTAATAATAAGTTGTTAAGTTCCTTGCAGATGTGGAAACTGATATATTTTTGCTGTGCAGTAAACTTGTAATCAGGTAACAAAGTTGGTGATGGCAGGACAACTAGGAGTGCTTAATGCACTCGATGTCGCAAAGACACAAATGTACCATTTCACAGCAATTGTGATTGCTGGAATGGGTTTTTTCACTGATGCTTATGATCTCTTCTGCATTTCTCTTGTTACAAAGTTGTTAGGAAGAATCTATTACACAGATTACACCAAACCGAAACCAGGTGTGCTTCCTCCCGGTGTTCAAGCCGGTGTAACCGGTGTCGCACTATGCGGGACATTAGCAGGCCAACTATTCTTCGGTTGGCTGGGTGACAAACTCGGAAGGAAAAAAGTTTATGGAATGACCCTTATGCTTATGGTAGGTTGTTCACTTGCCTCAGGACTTTCCTTTGGAAGTAGTCCAAAGAGTGTTATGGCATCACTTTGTTTCTTTAGGTTTTGGCTTGGTTTTGGAATTGGTGGTGATTACCCTCTTTCAGCTACAATTATGTCTGAGTATGCTAACAAAAAGACGCGAGGCGCGTTCATCGCTGCGGTGTTTGCTATGCAGGGATTCGGAATCATGGCTGGTGGAATATTTGCATTGATTGTAGCTACTGCTTTTGATCACAAATATAAAGTTCCTACTTATGAAGAAAACGCGGAAGCCTCGCTTGTGTTGCCGGCTTTTGATTATGTTTGGCGTTTGATTTTAATGTTTGGTGCAGTTCCAGCAGCACTTACCTATTACTGGCGTATGAAGATGCCCGAGACGGCTCGTTACACAGCGCTTGTTGCTAAGAACGCGAAACAAGCTGCTTCTGATATGTCGAAGGTGTTACAAGTTGAACTTCAAGCTGAAGAGGAAAAGGTGCAGCAGATAGTTGAGAACAAAAGCCAAAAGTTTGGCCTATTTAGCAAGGAATTCGCCAAGCGACACGGAATGCACTTGTTGGGAACAACATCTACTTGGTTCTTGTTGGACATTGCTTTCTATAGTCAGAATCTTTTCCAAAAAGACATTTTCACTGCCATTGGATGGATCCCTCCGGCGAAAGAAATGAATGCAATTCACGAACTTTATAGGATCGCAAGAGCGCAGACACTTATAGCAATGTGCAGTACAGTTCCCGGTTACTGGTTCACCGTTGCGTTCATCGATTACATGGGTCGATTCGCAATCCAGCTGATGGGTTTCTTCTTCATGACTGTATTCATGTTTGCTCTAGCTATACCTTATGACCACTGGACAAAGAAAGAAAACAGAATCGGATTTGTCGTGATGTACTCGTTAACCTTCTTTTTCGCCAATTTCGGTCCAAACGCTACCACATTTGTTGTTCCGGCCGAGATTTTCCCCGCCAGACTAAGATCTACCTGTCACGGTATCTCGGCCGCTGCAGGAAAAGCTGGAGCAATTGTTGGCGCGTTTGGATTCTTATACGCCGCACAAAGTAAGGATGCAAGTAAAACTGATGCAGGTTACCCAACTGGTATTGGTATTAAGAATTCCCTCATTATGCTTGGAGTTGTTAACTTCTTTGGAATGGTATTCACCTTTTTAGTTCCTGAAGCAAATGGAAAATCATTGGAAGAAATGAGTGGTGAGAATGAGGAAGATGGTGCTGAGGCTGTTGAGATGGCAGGGCCAGGAACTGCTAGGACAGTACCTGTTTAATAATAATAATCTCTGTTCAAACAACTTCATAGTTATTACTATTATTGTTACATGACAATTTTAGTTTGTTTTTTCTTCTGCCAGATGCTTAATAATAATGATGTAGATACTACTATATTTGGTTTTGAGTGTTCTAATTTTATATCAGTTACAAAGTGTTTCTGTGTTTTTGTTCTTGTTTTCATTGTAATGATATTTATATAATCATGTTTATCGCCAAATATTTTACTGTTCTCTTTTAATTTCTCGTCTTCTCTCTTGAACTTCAAAACTAAGAGCTGGGTGATTTTACATATCAGTCGACGACAAATTAATTCTTACTTTTTAAAGTTTTAAATTTGATTTAAAACTTTTAAATTTCTAAAAATGACTTAAAAAATTTTCAATGAATAATTTTAATATTTTATCTACAAAAAATATCTAAAATTAAATAATTTGAATTGCTCAAAATATTTATATCTTTAAAAAATTTCAATTACCTCGTTTAAATATCCTATTTAAGTTTTTCACTCTCCCTTTCTTTTTCATTTTCTACCTATAAGATCGCAAACTCACCCTCATTGTTAATGTTTCAGAATCTCCTAAATTGATCAAACACAATTGTTTTGGTGCACGGTGTGAAGGTGAGAAAGCATAAAAAAATGACTTTTGGAGTTCCTTTAAAAGCTTTTCTTTGTTTGGAATTTGGTAGAAATGAAAAGACTCAAACTAAATGCTAAAAATAAAGAGATAGAGGAAGGAGTGAAACAAAGATATATCCTAATTAATCACCACAATTTGATACTTATGTCTCGTGTCGTGCTTTGACACTTAAATGATTTTTCACTAAAAATAAAATTGATTACAACCGCATTATATCATTGGCTTATTAGGAATGTAGTTTAAATATACTTAGTGTTGCCCCATATATGCATGTGTAAGCATAATGATATAAGAACACCATCCATGTGTTCATAGGAGAGATGTATGCTAGCATAAGCTTAGCATCATAAGTATAAATATCAATATTAATGTATATTATGTTGGAATAAAATTGGGTTGTCCCATATCTTTTGAGTTTTGATAATAATAAATAATTTAAAGAATAATTAAATATACTAATGTTTGTTCAAGTGTACAAAATTATAGACTAAAATTTCATGTAAAATTTAAGTATTGGTCTTGATTATGAACATTCAAAGAGAAAGTTAAATACCAAAATCTGATGGATCAGATTCTGAAGGCTAGACTTTGAAGAAGTCAACTTCTAAAGAGGTCCACATTTGAAGGTCAGGGTCTAAAGGAGTCAGCCTCTAAAGACTAGACTCTGAAGTAGTCTATTTCTGATACAACTGCTAATTCCTTTTGTAGCAAAAGATTTTTAAACTAGCCTTCACCAACCTTGACTATCTGGTGAAAGATCCCAGCATCTCTTTTGAAGCTTCTTAAAGGACTCTACTGTGCTGTATCTTCAATGACTTTTTTTCTTATCTATTTAAAGAGATGAAAACTTGAAGAAATATACATCAATTGACATTCGAAGAGATGTTACTCGATCAACATAAAAAGCACAAGCTGACATAGGATTTCTTATCCTAGTATATTTTAGATATCCTTAAGTCTTAAAAGATTATACTTGCATTGTATTCTTTATACACCTCTGATTGCATATCAAGTATACTTTCTCAAACAATCATTTATCTGCTAGGTTGATTGTTAGAAGTCTCTTGCTTGTGCGTTTGAGCATAGAACTCCCTTACTAAGTGTTTGAGCATTTGAAATCTCTTGCTTGTGTGCTTGAGCATAGAAGTCTTTTACTTTAGTGTTTAAGCATTGAAAGTCTCTTCCTTGTGTGCGTGAGCAAATTGTAATCTTGTGTGATTATAGTGAAAATATCTTGTAAGTACAAAGGAACTGAACTACTCTCAAGTTGTGAGAGGAACCAGGAAAGCTTTGTGTGTTACAATTCTTTCTTGCACATTATATCCACTTCCCATATCTGACTAAATCATATTCTATAAGTTGTGTTTAGAATATGACCAAAAGTTTAAAAATAAAGGAAAAGTCAACACAATTCAACCATTTTCTTGTGTTTTTCTCACCTTCAATTGGCATTAGAGTACAATTTATGTTTAACACTTAACAATGGTGTAGAAAAGATCTTGAGAGAAACATATTGAACCAAGTTTGGTGTTTCTGATACTAGAAGCGGTACTCCTAATCTGCATGCTGCCGTATATCATAATTATAGCAACTCAAAAAAGAACAATTATAGAGATAGACCTCCAAATTTTGGTGGAGACTATACTGAGTTTGAATGGTAAAAGAGAAAGATGCATACTATTATTATAGGGCTTGACAATGAGTTGTGGGATATTTTAGAAGATGACATTGATATTCCAGTCAATGGAGTTGAAGTGATGTCTGATAGAAAAACTCTCACACCAGCTCAAAAAAAGACCTATAGAAAACATCGTAAAGTTAGAGGCATCTTGTTTGATGTTCTACCTTACTCAAAGTACATCAAAATTATTGGTAAATCTAATGCTTTCAAATCCCTATGTGCTACTTACGAAGGGAATCAACAAGTCTAGGAAGCTAAAGATAACCTTCTGGTTCAACAATATGAGCTGCTCAAAATGAAGGAGGATGAAGACATTGAAACCATGTTTTTTAGGTTTCAAGTTTTTTTATTTGGACTTTAGGTTATGAACAAGATCTACACTACATTTAATCATGTCAAGATGATTTGTAGGAGTCTTCCAGTCAGATACAAACATTAAGTGACAAATATTCATGAAGCTAAAGACTTAAACACATTAAGTCTTGAAAGCCTTAACATAAATCTTTAGGGCCATGAGATAAAGCTCAATGGAGATGAAACAGTCAGAAACTCAAAGCTCATGGATTTGAAGTTTATTTTTAAAAGTTTCATGGCTCCTCAAGTATGAAAGTCTGAAGAAGTTTCTCATGAAGAATGTTCAGAATATGACTCAGATGATGAGTGTCGCTATGCGTAAATTTAGAGAAGTCGCCATCGAACGTTATTTATTCCAACGGGGGGAAAAGAAAAACATCTAGAAAATCTAGGGAAAAAGATGGTCTCGCGACCAAGATATGAGGTCGAAAGTCGGTTATACAAGAGGAAGGTATTAGCACCCTCTCGCATTCATGGTACTCGATGGGAACTATCTAGGTAGTCTACGCGTGAATAAGTGTCGTTATCTAAGGTTTACTTGCTAAAGGAGAAATGGATGGGTTTTAAATTAAAAGCGCACTCGATAGGATCTTGCAATCCTATGCGTACGCATTACCTTGTACAAAGGGAAAGTCAGAGACATTTTAGTTCTAAGGACTCAGGTGAATTGGTGAGAGGTTGCTCGCTAAGGATTGGAGCCCTTGTGCCTACGTATCTTCATTGATGAATGAAGAATCAGAGTGATCATAGTTTGCAGGACTACGATATTGTTGGGTTTGTTGTTTTGGTGGGCAAGGTTAATGTTCGCTTTCTAGTAGTTAAACATTGCGTGTGTGCTTGTACATGAGAGGCTTAAATGTTTGTTTATTTGCAGTAGAACGGATGCGTTTGGATCACATTCTAGCAGTTAAACATTTTTGCACCCCAAAATTTGCCCTCGCGTTTTCTGACTTTGAATGACTTTTGCTTTGCATCCATCTGCATATCACTTAGTTCGATTATTTCTCTCATACTGTCCATGTTATCATCCGGAATGATTTTATCGGGATTACAACCGTTTTGTTCACATTTTAGACAATTTAAACCAGTTCGAATGTTAAGTTCCATGTCGAAATCGAGCGAAAGTTGTTCTCTTCTTGGTGGTTCAATCTGTGCTGATAATTCTGTTGCATTTCGGTGCTAGACCCTTTTTATTCGTTTTTATGTCGTTTGTTAATTTAGGTTTGTTTTATTTGTTTAGAGATTAAGACTTAGAATTTTAAATAGATTTAATTAGAACTAGATTTAGAGTTAATTAGGATTTAGGATTTTAGAGATATAATTATTAGAATAGGTTTTTATATTAGAATTAATTTAGATTAGTTTTTAATTAGAATTTTAATTAATAATTAGATTATAACTTTAACATTAAACTTAGAATAGAGTTATATTTTAATTTAGATTAGATATATAATTAGTTTTAAATATGATTTTAGAAATAGAATTAGTGTTAATTTATATTAGATTTAGGATTTAAGTTTTATTTAGAAAATAGAATTGGATTTTTATTGATTAAGTTTAAATTAGAAATAGGAATAGAACTCAATCAAAATTTTATTAATTAGTTTAGGATTTTATTAGTTTTATTAGGATCATTAATCAGAAATAGTACAACAAAAAATCAAAGAAAAGACAAAAAAAGCTGAAAGAAGGACACGTGGCAGCAGCTTATATAGGCTTTTTACTATTGATCTTCTTCAACCTCAAGGAGCCAAAAAAAAAACCAGCAGCCGTACAACCCTAGCCCCCTAACAGCATATTATTCATCATCTTTTACATGGATAAACCCTAAAGTGCTAGCCGCCGCACAACATTCAACCCCAAATCCGTCCATCTTCCTTGTTCATTTTCGCAAACCCAAACATCACCTTCCGGCAACTCCCTTCTCAACCTTGAAACCAAACCCAGAACAAACGAAAAGTGAAGAAGAGAAAGCTTGAAGTCGTTCACCTTCATCCATCTTCTTCGTCACCTCACCTCAAACCTCCTCTTTCAAAGCTCCAAAAAAACTTCACCCTTTACCTTCCTCCTTCACGACTTCAACCACAAAAATCCATTTTATCTTTCCCTCAACTTTCCTTCAACATCCAAACCAGTCAAAACCTAAACCACACAGAACCGGAAGGATCAGAGAGAAGTATAATGATTGAGAGAGTGAACAAAAGCAAACCGAAACAAGAAATTCAAGTGAATGAATCTGGATGAACACGGGATGCAGCGAGATTGAGACGAAAATCACACAAGAAAGGTGGGGTGAACGATTTGTGTTGATGGCATGTTTGGA